ACATAAAATTAACTGAGCATTTTATAAAAACATTAACATTATATAATGAATATAATGAATCATGAGGGTTATTAATAATAAAATTAAAGTCGATTTTTTATAATAATTGTTTTATTCTTGTTTGACATTTTTAATATGTATCTAGTATTTATTTAATATACTATTTAGTTAAAAAAAAAAAAAAAAACATAAGAAGAAAATCAATAAAAACCAGGCACATATGAGATTTGTTTAGGTTTTGTTTTTTATTTTTATTTATTAATTTGTTTTATTCTAATATAAAATAAAATTCTTCACTTGTATAATATTTATTCCATGTATAATGCAAATTCGTAAAAAAAAATGTTATGCTAGCCATTAATACTAGTTTATTGTGAAAAAAAATGTAAAACAATTTTTTCCGTATTAATATATATTTATGTATAGTTTCGATACTTATGGTAAATACTATTGAGCAGCAGAATAAACATTTTACATTGTTTTTTTTTTCATTTTTTATCCAATTCTCATTTTATATAATGGGTTTGAGGGATATAGTAGCTAGGTTAATTTTCTGTATATTTTATGAAATTTATATTTAAAACCAGTGCCTACTTTCTAAAATTTTCCTAAATTATTCATCCCTTCAATACCGTTTCTTTTGATATTAAAATTTTGTTACCTATTTTAAAAATGTATAATAGGGATCATTGCAAAAACTAGACTTCTCATATAATATATATTAATATGATATTTTATACGTATGTGGTCTGTATTATATAAACAAGGATTGTTCTCAAATTAAGTTTTGTAAAATAGCATATATAATTGTATTCATTTTTAAAATTAGAACCAAAATAATAATAGATGCCAAATATTTTATTTTAAGAAATCATTCCTCATCTCATTATTTAATATACATTATTATTTTAATTTTATATCATTAATTTTATAAAACAATTATTTTATGTATTGAATTATTATGTTTTCAATGCAACTTTGTGAGGATAAAAATATTTTGTACACCTCTCGATTCAAACTATTTATTTAAAGTCCACCTATTTTCAGTTGTTAATTTGTAGCGCAATTGATTCAGACTTTTGGTGAGATTTTTTTTTTTTTTTATTGCAAATAGGTAAATACTATTTTTTTAGCGGAAAAATAATTGTTTTTGAATTCTATCATATGAAGATTAAACTAAATGTATATACAATAATATAAATTCCTCAATGATTTTATTAATACCTAATGTAATTCTAATTCTATTGTTTAAATGTTTATTTTCATCAAATGTCTGTAGTTAAAAATTAATTATAATAGCTAAATTATATTATTCGACAAATATACTAAAAACGTTTTGAAATATTACCTTTTTTTTATAATTTCTATAGTATGATTGTTGTTAATTAATTTTCAATAATTGATATTGTTAAAATCTTAATGACATATATTTTACTAATAAATATTTTAAAATTATATATATATATATATATGCGTGTAATCATATTATTAGAAATTAACATGATGGTTTTTAAATCAAAAAAAGTTTGGTAAAATTAATTTGATTTTTATGAACGATTTTAATTTATAATTTATAATTTGGCTTAAATCCCAATATTCTGTATGCAATATTTTCCATAAAGTTGATCTAATATTTATTTATTGAAATTTCATTCAATTTATTTCGTTTTAAATGAATTTTGCTTGGATAAATAAAAAACTATTTCCAGAGTAACTGCATTTGAACTCTTTGAAATCATAAGACTTTTAAAAAAGAAATATAGGAAAATTTTTTCTCTGTTTAAAACAATTTTCCTTAGAATTTCACTTAAAAGGTTTTTTTTTTATATTCTTCTTACTACAAAACTTTTAATCCTATATAATATGGACTTCACGAAGTACATTTATTATCCTATAAGTTATTGAATATTTTTTTTATTTTTTTTTTTGTATAAACATGTACCTTATGATTTTCTTATACTCGGATAATATGTACGATGGAGAATATATTTTTTGGTTTAAACTTTTGTGATCGCTGAAATGTACATAAAATATAGAATTTGAACATTTTTTGAGTATATATTGTTTAATTAATGATGAAGAAAATGCCATTACAGTTTTGTTATATTTTGAATTTGATCTTAGCAATTGCTAATAAAAATGTAAACGTGGTACCTAATTATGATATGATAATTGTGTATATTTATTTATAATTAGATAGTGACCATTAAATTATTTGTTTTAATATTTAGCATTTCATTATCATACCATTACATTATATACATTGATCCGAACGCGCTTCATTTTTGTAGTCAATTAAAAATTATATTTTACAATTAACATAAACGTGTTGAAGTACAATAGACATTTAGGTAGTGTTATATTATGATTATTATCGTAATATTTACCCATAATATTTTAAATATCGATATAAAATAAAAACAATAAATAAACAACAATATACATAACATGGTTTTTGAAAAATCGAAAACAAAATACATAAAATAAAAAGTCAAATCATTATAAATTAATATAAATAACATTATAAATTAATATAAATAATAACTTTTTTAACGATAAATCCGAAAGTTCAAACATGTAAAATTTAAAACATGGTTTTTTTTATTGACAGGCCCACGCAAGACAACGATCGGTTAAAAATGTAATAATTCTCTTATTGTTTTTAGCGTACAAGCATTCGTTACACATTCGTGTAACATAAAAGAAAACCCCTGACACTAGGTTACAAGTTACTAGGTTCAAGTGTTTGAGCTGACCAATTGAGGTTTAGAAAAACGGCTTGTGACCTCGATATTTTCTTCCTCTATTTTCTTATTCTTTCCGTTATCTTTTTATCTCTCACATTGTTAGATAAATAATGTACAATATACATAAATAATGTACAATCGTTGTTATGAAAGACCACGTAAAATATAAAATAATAATAAAAAAAAAAAAAACATAAAAAGTTAGCGATAAAAGCAATCCTCAAATAAAATCTCTTAAGAGCTAATATTCAAAGAGTGAAAAGTGCCTCTTAAACAATATGCAAAGTCTCGAAGCGCGCATTTTATATTCGCACACGTTTTATATGATTGCACAACATGTAACCCGGAATCGCTTACGAAACATACAGAAACATAATTCAATAACAGCTTTTTTTTTTTTAAATACTTACATATACGCGTGGTCGAACGTGAACCGAATCGGTCTCAAGATCAACTTTCAACACACAGATAAAATAAATCGTGTCGACGTGGGCCACGGGCGCTTCGCGTCTCGGGGAAAAGTTGTGAATCGTTCCCGACACGATTCCGAATGTTAGACCGATACTGCCCTGTATAGGCGGACCCAGAGTTTCACATTTAAGTATGCCCTGTCATTTTTTGAAGTTATTTTATTAAAATATAAAGGGGAGTCTTTAGATAAATTCAAATTGTTATTGAACACAAAGTTAACGATAATAATAAAATTTTACCTAGTGTCTGTGAGTTGTTTGATTCATATCACGTTAAATAAAATCAGAAGTACCAAAATTATTATTTTGTTAATCATCGTTATCAGCGCTGTGTCTGTTTCCGAGAAAAGGTTATATTTTTTCGCTAAAAATAGTAACCATCACTATTAGAGAAAGATTATCATGTCGATGACATTAACATTTAATAAAATTTAACAATAATAAAGTACGTTTAGAATATGTAATGATTTAAATACTAAAAGTAAACGCTTCGTTAATAATGTAAAATAACGATTGGTAAAAAATATATGTAATTATTGTTTCAGACTTATTCCGAACACTTGCAGTATTACTTATAAAAAACTAAAATTTAATTAATGTGTGTGTATCTATACAACAATAATCCTTATTGTTATTATTCAATGTTTTTCATTCACATTATTCACATTAGGGTGCGCCGAGGCACACCCCGTAGATCCGCATACGCTTTTCCGCTGAAGATCATGCCATTTTCCGCTCTTTCCACCCGGAACGCATACGTCCAAGCTATCCGCACTCACGGCGGACGGTTCGAAAATTAGTTAGGTGAGAAATCGCGTACCGTTGATGCGACGGAACACCATTCAATCGTCGCACCGACCGGGCCGCGGCCGTAACAGAGTAAATGGTCAGCAAAACGATAATGCATACGCAGTTAAGTCTGTACTCGCTCCGTCTAGTGATTTGGGCACGGTCAAAACACAACGCACAGTATATTTGGTCGTAATGTTGTTCCGACGCGTCCCAAGGCGTTTCGACTGGTTTAATTTATCGCCATTCGGCGCTGAATCCTCGGACCGTTTCGGTTCCGTTTCGTAACCGTCTTGTTTACCGCGTGCTCTACCCGCCCACGGTTTTGTTTATCTTTTACCCACAATATCTGCGCGGATCGGGTAAACATGCGGTTACTGTAAACATTCGATGATAGTACACGTTCCGTACGCCGAATCCCGTGGGTTCGGATGTTGCACTCGTCGGACGAGTTTCTCCGACGGTAAACAGTGTGTGTGTCGAAACACTAAGGTGCACCTACTAAGGCGCGCACAGCGAGTTTCGGGTTGTGCTGGAGTAGAAAAAAAACTTTAAGTTGAAGAAGGTGCATAGATAAAGTACAACGATAAAACTATTCTATGGCAATTCATATTACCACCCATACGTTAACCGTAATTCAAAAGCTGCCATAGAATAATAATAATAATCGTTCCGTAGTTTTTAAAATATTTTTCACACACGTATTTGGAATAATTCGATGTTTTTATTTGTTCAAATCTATTATAATATGATTAAGTCGCATTACTAATTTTTTTTTATTTCTTACACTTTCTTTAATCGTTATCATTTATGTATTTTGCATGTTTAAATTAACTGATAAACTGCACGTGAATTATAGTGCTTTTGCTCCTCAAATAAAAAAATAATACAAATATTATCATTCATATAATGAGCTAAAAAAAATAAACTTGTAAAACTTTTGACTTATTATCTAATTTTTTTAGTTATAATATTTTATTTTATTTTTTTTTAGCCGAGATACCAGCTTATAAAGGTAAGATTTTCGACTTATATATTTTTATTATTAGAGTGATGTAATACAAATAAGTAATATTTTTTTCATTTGCAAATTAAATTAAAAAAAAAAACTTCAAAATCAATTTTATTTGTTTTATTTTCACGGTTTGTAATGTTAAATTTGTAAGATTATATAAAAGTACTTGGTTTAACTCCTTTGGAAATTTTTTGATAAAGCAATCATATAGCCATATTTAGCAAAGAGGTAAATTTATATGAATATATGTTAGTATACGTTTTTCACAAAACATGTCTTGTTTTTTTCAAAACATATCTTGCTCGGTGAAACTATCGATTATAAATATATACGAGTTACCAATAATAACGATTGATGTATAAAATAAAATTGTTTATTGTTAATTTTAAAACATAAATAAGATACAATGAGTTTTTTATGTTATTTTAAAAAAGATCGAACAACGAAAAATCTCATACTGTTACAAAATATTGTATTTGGTTCTTTTTCCATACCTTAATAATAATTATAGCAGTGCAAAATTGAGAAAAGTTCTACAAATCCGTATTGCACAACATTCATTATCATTAAAGTTTATTTTCGAGCTCAATATCTACTGCCTTACATGTTAAAATTTCTAAATAAAGACTTGCCGGTGAAATAAAATTATGTTAAGATTTATTCAATAGGTTGCGACGTGTGCGTATTTGTCTTTTTACACGTACAATAATGCAAAAATCCCCGGTGACTCTTAGAAACTAATAATTCAAACAACAATAAATAATATATATTCGTAGCGAAACAATTCTTAAAGTAATTTATAAATAACGAATGTAACCGGATTAACTCTATACTCAATGTTGTTTAATTTTTTATTTGTGCCAAATAACTGTCTAATTTTATTTGATTACATGTGAGAGCAGAAATATGTAGTATATTCGATAAAATATCTTTTCAGTTCAAATAAATAAATGATTCGGTGAGTAAAATCGGAATTCGATGATATTGTTACTTAAGAAAACTACTGCAAATTGGTTACAGATAAAACTTTTAAGATTTTCATTTAACTTAGGTCGGCTGATGAGTGACGAGTGAATGAATTTATTATTCTTTGCCCTAAATATATTTTAATATTTCATAGCCTTTGCAGGCCATAGGTGTAGAATTAATTCTTGATCTTGTTTCTTTTGTTTCGTTTTTCATTTAATAAGTAATGCGTGGGTAAATGTATCGACACCGTTCAACAACATCGTATTCAATCGAAATAACTCAATGGAAAAAAAAATCGTTAATACGATGAAAACATTTTTCTTTCCTTCACAGTAAACATTAAAAATATAGAAATTAAAAATATACCAATAATTGAATAATTTAATTCGCAAGTTCTTTAATACTTGGTACAACTTTTATTACAAGTATCTCATTTACTTTAATTATCATTTCAATTTATCTATATTACAGCCGCGAGAATATATTTAATGTAAATAAATGCTAATTAACAGTAGGTATACGGTAAACACTATTTATTTGTGGCGTTTATCGTTTGAATTAATTTGACTTTTTGTTACTTTTTTTGGTTTTAATGATGATGCGCCCATTGAATTAGTAATGGGTACTTTTCTACTATTATCATATTTTAATAATTTGTATTCTCAGACAAAGCTTGATTAGTATTCATCAAACAAAAATTAATTCAAGCGAATAGTTTTCGTCGACTGTATACAATTGCGGAAAAGTTTGATTTTCCTAAACCTAACCTCCAATATTTGAAACTCGCTCATCGTCATCCGTCATGCAAATAAAAATAATTTTATTTGTCTGTTTTGTAATTTTTGCATTACCAGTAACAAATATTATTTTATCGTTTTAAAATCGTTTCATAATATTTTATAGCATTAATAGTAATATTTGTAGTATTTGCAGAATTCGTAGTACTTGTATTAGTAAGCCGAATGTAACGATAGCACTGACAAATACACAATGTGAATTTAACCAACGTATCCCTTGGGCATCTCGCAGCTTAGGAACAGTTGCATTCGATCATTAATAATAATCATTGGAATTGTAGACATAGTAATATTCTCGCCAATTGGTCGCTGTTATACGAATCGTTTGTCGGAGAAGTTATATGGACTGATACGTAGGATGTTGCGAAAATTTATTTACATATAATATTCTCCAACCACGTCATCGTCGAATTCGGGGGTGAAAATAATTAAGATAATTTCATGTGCCCGAGCTTTTCAACATATACGGAGTTTATACGGAATGTTTTTATTAAATTACTTAAACGGGTCAATTTTGTTGCGCAATAATTCCGAAATTCATATTCATGTTGATCAAATTTCGTGGTTTACAAATGACGGTTTCGAGGTGAATTTTCAAAGAAACGAGTTGCACGTGGTTTAATTCTCACGATTATCGCCCTCCTCATCCTTCAACTCCACCTTTTCCTTACAGACAGTTACCACGTGCCGTTGCAGGTCTCGATATTATTTATACGCATAACACCGATTTTCAGTATAATAATTATAAAAGTTTTTCAAGTATTTGGAGCTTCAAACTATTCGCGTGCACCGATAAAAAAGTGTTCACCAGAATCTCGGCCGATACTATTTCTTCACTTGTCCCCTACGCTTGTTCGCTGAAGGTCCTTAAATTTGATTGATTGTAAATACCCCGTCTTCAAGCCATGACGTGCAATATTCTTATTAAAGTATCGTGTTACGTGGACGCGCTCGCGTCATCAAACACGTTTCTACATTATAAATATAATAATACTCCGGGCTAAGAATCTATTTATTTCCAAATATATATATATATATATATATATATATATATAGGTAAATACTATTTATTTATATATTAACAATTCGATACTTATTTTCCCACTTTATATTTGTTAATTTCTTTTTACCGTCGCAATTTCGAATCTAGTGTCTTTTTTGATTGATAATTATTTATTTGAAAAAAATATACAATACAATAGCAATTATATCAAACATATAAATTGTTTACTGATAGTTATAGCATATGAGGAAATATATTATGCATCATACAATTGTTTGCATTTAAAATAAAATATATAGTGTTTAATCATAAATAAAGAAAACGAATAGAACAAATATAAAAATCAATGAATTTTTACCGAAATTCACTATAATTTCTTTCACAGAAATAACTTTTCACCGGAAAAGTTTCGGCAAAATATCTTTCGTAGAAATGTCCCTAAATAAATTTTTTTGGACAAACATATTATATTTTGGACGTGGGTTAAAAAAAAAAAAAAATCATTTTTCAGACTTTAACGTGAACTTATCAAAATGAAAATTTAATAGTCACTTTTGTACAACACTTTTATGTGAATATAAAAGTCTATTATTTTCCATAATTGTAATAGTAAATGTTTTCAACATATTTAATAAAATATGTTGAATATATTTGGTTATTTAATCATTTTATTATTGTAAATAAATTTGATTCGAATTATTATGTTATTATATTCACGTTTAAAGCATTTATTAGAAATTTCTAAGAACCTTATACCTATTATGCGTTTTTTTTAAATTAAGATGTATTTGTAAAACTAAAATTTCCTTTCACATTGTGTTCATTCTTACCGATATAATAGATATTAAATCAAATTTAAAATAAAACTTCAACTTTTTAATCAAACATCAACACTTTAAATCTTATCAAATACCTTAATACCATAACGTCGTTTTTGATGATAAATATAAGTTCATGACGGCCCAGAGCATGAAGTATCATGGCATAACCAGAATATAAGGTATGATTGATACCGACTTTGCTGAACTGTTTTCCTTTGCCATTTCACTTCAGCTGGGCACCCCTCGTCCCGACATCTGTAGTTTCAGAAGGGGTATAAACCGTTTATTCCTACGGAATCATAACGCATGAAAATCACAGTTTGCTCTAAATAAGGTCCTACAGTCGGGTACGCAGAGTACCTCTTGTTAGTGTAGTGTTAAACTATACAGTCAGGAGAGACGTAAAGGTCCACACACACTGCAACGGTAGTGGTAGCGGTGAAATTGTATCATATGTATTGTGATTAGAGATCACACACTGCAGCGGTAAATCGAGTGGGGTATAATATCGCGACGCGGTTTTTACAGATACCGCTGCATGCTCGAATTTTACCGCTACCGCACAGTGGTTTTTGATATTTTACTTGAAATTCGTCGTCATTAAATTCAATGCCAGTATTTCAAATTGCATTTTATACTTATTAGTTATTACCGTATACAAGATAATGAAAAGCTATGTGCCTATAGTTAAGTGAAATTAACATTTATCATTCATTAACATATTTTATTATTATCTATTATAACTATAATAATTATGGGGTGAATCACTACACAGGTTGTCAATAGTTTGTCATAACAATATTATTTTACACAATTTAGTAAATGACAAATGTACAGAACTGTAAATTGTTGAGTGCAGACTAATGTGCTAAGAAATATGTGTGTGTATAGATAAAATTTACAACAAGAGGAAAATCCGTATTCTAAAATTGTTAACTATTTAATCTCCAAACTAACGTAATGAAATTAATGATGATAGCTATAAATATACTTTTTCCATAACTATGCTTTGGTACTCATATTTTTCAAAAAAGGAAATAACAATACACAAATACCCAATTATATTTATATTAAATTCAAATTTAAAAATAAAAATGAATTAGGTGTCCGGTGTGCAATTGTGTGACTTCCACTACTATGTGATATTCTGTTTAGATCTCAAATGTGACCTCCCCGTTTTATATCCATTAGCCATCTCATGAGCATCACTAAAAACTTATCGCAAAAAAGACTTCCATACGTAGACACATTTAGATTGAACACGTAATGTAAATTATTAATGTGTATGCGAAGTACTGTTTGAGTCCCAAAATTAACTACACATTTCAATTTCTGTGTCATCGCATGAAGTTCGGGATAATTTAGTTACATTAAGGACTTCCATGCGTAGTTCAGTTTGTAATGAGTGAT